ATAAACGTTTAAAAAAAAAAAAGACAACCAATTTGACAATAAATTTCATATATATTTTTTTTTTAAAAAAAAAGACATAGATCTTTTCTGGCAGCCCAGAACCTCCCTTGTGACCTTTTCCATTCGATACCCCTTCTTCTGGGGCAGGGTTTCTCAACCCTGCTGTTATTGACGTTTTGTGTTAGAGAATTCTCTGTTGTGTGGATGTGGGTGTGGGTGTGGGAGGGCTGTTCTCTGTGTTGTAAGATATATCCCTGGACTCTACCCAGTAGATGCTATTATTGTGATGCTCATATTGCCCCCAGTTTGGCCAATGGGATCCCCTTTAAGCAAGCTTTTGTGTCTCTCTGACATGTCCCCATCATTCCTTAAGTAAGCTCTCTTCCTTGTTTTCGGGTACAAGATGTCTCAGCCTTGTTCTGTACTTTCCTGCCCAAGTCCCAGACTCAGCCATTTCTCCAAGGAGCCTTGTTCCTTTCAGTGGAAAATGGTACCTAGGAGACAAGATCTTGGAGGAAGCTGTGTTCACTATGCTTGGTGACTCTGCTTCTCCCTATCGGCTCCTCCAGAAGCCTCTAGTGGCCAAGGTGGCCCCGAATAAAGTTCCACGCACTTAAAGGTCCTCAGAAGGAGAGAGTCCATTCTCTTTTTGGGTTTTTAAAGCTCACCATTTCTTTTTAATGTTTATTATTTTGGGGAGAGAGAGAGAGAGGGACAGAGAGCAAGCAGGGGAGGGGCAGAGAGAGAGGGAGACACAGAATCCGAAGCAGGCTCCAGGCTCTGAGCTGTCAGCACAGAGCTTGACGCAGGGCTCGAACTCACAGACCGCGAGATCATGACCTGAGCTGAAGTTGGCCGCTTAACGGACTGAGCCACCCAGGTGCCACCCCCCCCCCCCACAGTGTTCTTAAATAAAGGGCTCTAGTGGTCCTGTTCAGCTGAAAGCCCATCCCTGGGCCAATCACCATGGCTGGGGGCATGGGATGCTTTTACTGGCCAAGCTTGGGTTCCAGGCCCACCCCTATCTGAAGAGGGGATGAAGGGTGGGCTTGCATAATTCATCACCTGGCTACGTAGAAGGGGTAGCCCATGGGGGACAAGGGCCTCTTTCACCAGAAGAACGATGAGGAAATCCAGGGCTGACAAAACAGGGTATCTACTCTCACAAATCAGAGTTTAATTACACATTGTGATAACAGCCAAAAACAGGGAATAGGATGATGCAAAAGAGGACCATAGTGAGCCCTCCTTTACCCTGCAGGTCAGGGAGACCCCTCTGAAGAGTGGCAGGCCAGCAGGGATTTGAACAAGAGCCCTAGCTGGCCAATGGGTCACGGTAGTCGAGTGGCACCGCGTGGGGTGTGGGAGTAGAGTGACCACTGGGGCAAAGGCCCTGATGGGGAAGCTTTCCCTGGTCTGGAAGGAGGATAGTATGGCGAGAGCATGGCGAGCAAGGGGAGAGCAGCAGGAGGTGGGCTGGGGAGGCGGGACAACAGCGGACACTGAGGGCTTGGAGGCATTAACAAGCATGGCGGCTTCACTCTCAGTGGAATGGGTGCCCCTGAAGCCTTTTAGGGAAGGGAGCTCAGTCTGGCTGCTGGGGGACTAAAGATTGGAGGGCCCCAGCGGGGGACGGGAGACAGAACTGTGGCACCAGAACTGCACCGTATCCTTACTCTCCCTCTTATCTTCTCATTGAAACTATGACGTTCAGGAGCCTTCAGTGAAGTGGCCTCATGCCTGGTGGACATGCCGGGGAAGAGAGACGATGGCACCAAGATGGCTCTGGTATGCTTCCTGCCCGCCCCCCAGATGACTTTCCTGGGATGCCCCTCCCTCACTCGTTAGCCCCAGCAGACCCCGTTTCTCTGCCTGGCTCTTCTTTTCTCCATGGGACTCATCACCATCTGATGTACAATATGCTTTGCTAGTTCATCTTACTTTTTGTTAGCCTATCACTCTGGAATGTATCCTCCATAAATCGGGGATTTTTGTCTCCTGGTCACAGCTCTATCCCCCAAATCTAGACCAGTGCCGGGCACATTGTAGGTGCTCAATAAATGTTTTTTGGACAACTGAACCAACTGTGAGAGGGTCTCTAAAAGGGGAAGAAAGGCTAGAAATGGCCATTTTCAGGCCACATTCCCAACCCAGGTCTGGGCGTTGGGAGGCCAGAGAAAGCCAGCATCTGCAGGACTTGGTGAGGGCCAGTGGAGGCAGACTGGACAGGTTGGTGGACACGAGCGTGAACACATGCAGTGTGGGGGAGGGGGAGACTGGCTGGCAGACAGAACCTGGAGGTGGGGGATCCACCCAGGCCGGGCCATGGAAGAGGGAGGCCCTGCCCTCAGGCTGCTTCAGAGGCAAGCTCCAATCCCTGGGGTGGCACAGGGTGGGGGATGGAGAGAAGGTGACAGGACTAAGAAAAGGTCTTGCATTTTGGGAGCATTGGTCTTCATCACATGGCATTCTTCCAGTTGTCTACCTTACCACACTGGCCCTTCTTTCTTTCTCATTCTTGCCACACTCAATCCTGCCCCAGGGCCTTTGCACTTGTTTCTGCTGCCAGGAGGTTTCTTCTAATCTACAAAATGGGTGTAATGATTTTTTTTTTTTTTTTTTGAGAGAGAGAGACAGCATGAGCAGGGGAAGGGGGGAAGGGGCAGAGAGAGAAAGGAAGACACAGAATCTGAAACAAGCTCCAGGCTCCGAGCTATCAGCACAGAGCCCAATGTGGGGCTCGAACCCACAAACAGGGAGATCGTGACCAGAGCTGAAGTAGGACGCTTAACCGACTGAGCCACCCAGGCGCCCCAAAACAGGCATAATAAAGTTGAAGTGAGTGCACAGCACTGAGCATGGTGTCTGCAACGAATAGGGTTGATTATTGCAGTCATTCAACAAATCTTGTTGAGTCCCTACTATGTGCAAGGCATTGTTTCAGGCACTAGAGACGCTACAGCAAAGTAACATTCTAGTTTGGGGAAGCAGGTGATAAACCTAGCTACCCCCTGTCACCACACAAAGTTGTTACCATATTATTAGCTATTGCCTAGGCCGTACATTGCATCCCTGTGTCGTAATTATTTTATAATGGGAAGTTTGTGCTTTTTAATCTCCTTCTCCTGTTTTGCCCATCCCCCCAGCTCCCTCCCCTCTGGCGGCCACCAGCATGTTTTCTGTATCTGTGAATCTGTTTCTGTTCTCTTTCATTGGTTCATCTGCTTTGTCTTTTAGATTCCACATCTAAGGGAAATCATACAGTGTTTTCCTTTCTCTGACTTCTTTCACTTAGCATAATGCCCCTTAGGTCCATCCATGTTGTCGCAAATGGCAAGATCTCATTCTTTTTGATGGCTGAATAATATTCCTGTGTGTGTGTGTGTGTGTGTGTGTGTGTGTGTGTGTGTGTAAATCCCACACATCTCCTTTATCCATTCATCTCTCGATGGACACTCAGGCTGCTTCCATATCTTGGCTGTTGTAAATAACGCTACAATGAACACGCTGCTGGCACATCTTTTAGAATTAGTGTTTTTGATTTCTTCAGCTAAATACCCGGAGGTGGAACTGCTGGCTTGTATGACAATTCTGAGATTGTCTGGGCTCAGTGAGGTGGCCCTTCTGCTCTGAGTGGTGTAGACGGAGGTCACTCGGGAGCAGGGGCCCTAACATCCAAGGTGACCCTCATCTTCCAGGGTCTCTCTCCACACAGTTTGCTCATTCCATATCTAGCTGGGCTTGCTTATAGCATGGCAGCTGGCTTCTGGAAGGAACAGGCTGCCAGTTCCCTTGAGGGCTAGGCCAGGAACTGGCATGTCCTCACTGCCATGGCATTCTATTGGTCCAAGCAAGCAGTAAGATGAGCCCAGATTCAAGGGCTATCTGTCCTCTTGACTTCAGTGGGAAGAACTTGTGGCATCTTTCACCCACCACACCGCCCATCACGTTCCCTTGTTTCGCCTTCTTACTACGTGAAGGTATTTTATCTATTTCGCGTCTTTTTTTCTTCTTCTACCTGAAAAGAATGAGAACGAACAGATTAATTGGACACTGGTAAAGGTATTCCCTCTCTCAGGTGGCAGAATGCCTTGATCTGACTAGGATGTGCCCTTAAGAGTGGATACTAAAGGGGGCACCTGGGCGGCTCCATCAGTTAAGCGTCTGACTTCCGCTCAGGTCATGATCTCACGGTTTGTGAGTTCGAGCCCCGCAGCAGGCTCTGTGCCGACAGCTCGGAGCCTGGAACTTGCCTCGGATTGTGTCTCCCTCTCTCTCTGCTCTTCCCCGCTCACACTCTGTCACTGTCTCTGTCTCAAAAATAAATAAACGTTAAAAAAAAAAGAGTGGAGGGGCGCCTGGGTGGCGCAGTCGGTTAAGCGTCCGACTTCAGCCAGGTCACGATCTCGCGGTCCGTGAGTTCGAGCCCCGCGTCAGGCTCTGGGCTGATGGCTCAGAGCCTGGAGCCTGTTTCTGATTCTGTGTCTCCCTCTCTCTCTGCCCCTCCCCCGTTCATGCTCTGTCTCTCTCTGTCCCAAAAATAAATAAACGTTGAAAAAAAAAAAAAAAAAAAAAAAAAAAAAAAAAAAAAAAAAAAAAAAAAAAAAAGAGAGTGGATACTAAAAAGCCCTTAAAAGGTTTTAATAATCGTGGGATTTCAGCCGGAAGGTCTCCGCACCTCTTCTGTTCCATCAACTCCTGCCTCTTCTCGCTCAGTTGACTGGACAGGGGGAGTGCTTTGCACTGAATTCTGGTTCTCCTCCAAATGCTGCCCTTCAGGGATTGTCCAACCCCCTAGTCCTCACTCTCATGGTCTTCTCAAATCTGCACCCCCACCGTGATTTCTCATTCCTCTGGAGCCCGTGCTTAGGGGCTGGGGGCTGGGGCTGGGGTGGCGGTGGCTGGTGGGAGTGCATGGTGGTCCCTGAGGGCGGGGGTCAGCGTGCCTCTCACCCTGTGGCTTTGCCCTCTGCTGCCTCCGAGGTGGAGAATGTCATCACCCTCCAGGAGAGCCAGGATGCGCTCGAAGTGGACGTAGAGAAGAGGACCTTGATGAAGGAGATGATGGTGTGGGAACCTCGTGCGGGTCTGGAGAGCTGGGTGGGGAGGAGGTGGACGTCCCCGTCTACCCACTGATGAGACACGGCTTGAGGTGGGAGGAGGACAGTGGAGGAGGCAGGACGCTTGGCCTCGAGCCTCAGTCCACCTCTAACTGCCCTCCGCCACCCTGAGGAGCTTGATGGGCCATTTCCCTTCTCTGAGCCTGTGAGCCTTCTCACCTCATAAGTACCTGTGGTAATGCCTGCCTCAATGGCTTGTTTGTGGTGAGGACACAACCAGTAGTGAGTTCCCTGGAGAGCCTCGGGCGCCTGGGGCAGTCATTATTATTTAATACATTCTTTCCCCAGAAATTCCTCCTGATGGGAAACTTCCAAGAGCTTCTTATCATCTTGCTAAATACAGTCCCTTCTCAGTTGTCCACCAGACTGGTTTAGGCCACCGAAGTCCCTGAAATCATGTTTAGCTTTGGGTCCTTTACATAAAATCCTCGCCCTTGATAACTTCATTTAACTAACGTTAATTGAGCATCTACTGTGTGCAGATGCTAGATCCAAAGTGAGGAGTCATTAGGACGTTTTTAAAGGAATCCACCTCGATCCCCCCACCCCCCCAAGAGCCATTCATGGTATTTTTTGCTTTGGGCCGGTCGGCGGCCCAAATATACCTCCTTACCACAAGGCTGCCAAAGCAGTTCTTGCTGACCTCCTGAGCGCCACGTGTGAGGTGTGGCTGGTTAGGGTGCGGGGTGTTTTTGGTGGCCTTGACCTGACAGCTCAGGACAGGGTTTGAGCAATGAGCTGGCTCTCCCTGCCGGAGGCCCTGTGCGGCATGGAGGTGGGGAGTTCTGTCCAGGCTCAGGGGCTCCTGCGGCCTGAGCCCCAGGAGGAGTGGTGGCCTCGGTCCTGGGGGCCTGCAGTGGCCTTGCCCCCCTCATTGGCCCCTCTGTGGTCTCCTGTCCAGAGGCAGATCCAGGAGGAGCCACTGGATTCCCTCTCGAGCACCGTCCGCTGGCAGGCCATGGAGACGCTGACCCAGCTGAGGTGTCCACAGCCCTCTCCCCGACCCCCAGCCCTTTCCTCACTTCTCTGGGCTCCGTCTGTCTCTCCCGAGGCCTGTCCTTGGTGCCCGCCCGGTCCTGTGACCTTCCCTCCCGCCTCCCCGAGGCCCTCCCCTTTCCCTCCTCCC